AAGCAGAGTATATAAAGCAGGGTATGGGAAAGACTCTTAGTATAGTAATTGAGCTTTCCTGATCATCATACACAACACATGAGTATGTGGGTGCTCATCAGTAATTATACTAATTATTGACGAGAGGGGCTAACAAGATTTTTGATAGCCTTTAAGGATGCTAGCAGCTATTGAATCTCTGTTTTCCAGATCATTTCTCCTTTTTCATACCCAAAAGTGTATGATACTGGCAAGCATGAATGTAGTAGGTGGTCTATTCAAGTAGCCACAGCTTACCAGGTGAAATGCTCATGTCACCAATTCATGATGTTCATATGCTGTGTATGCCTAGCATGAAAAGGCAAGCAGCTTGGCAAGCTAAGCAATAGAAAAAACTTAGTTTGCGTATGTGGACTCAAAAGGAGACAGGGAGTTATTTCATCAGCCTTGAGCAACAAGCCAATGAGAATGAGGGCCTCGGAGAGAGCTGGAGATGGGAGCCTTAACTCATCATTAGTTTCTCGTTCTAGATCCTCATGCCCATCTGTTCCCCAGCTCTTGCATTTATGAATTATGTCTTCATTTGGATATGGTGTGAATATGTTTCCCAAGGGCTCAGAAAACTTAATCTTTATTATGAGGAATTAAGAGGAGTGGAAAGTTATTATATTTGGACGTGGAATCTGTAAGGTATGATTAGAATTAGATAAGGTCATCAACACAGAGTCCCTAAGGGGGAATTACTGATGGCTTAATGAAAAGTAGACAAGAGATCAAAAAAACAGTCTTTTCCATGTGATGCCTTGCACTGGACCCTGCCATATCCAGGTCCTTGACCTTGGACCAGAAACATACACCAGAATAACCCTCTTTTCCTTAAAAAAATTAGCTAGCCTCAAGTATTGTTGCTATAGTAACAAAAATGTTCTAATACAAAATACTTCAGGAACTATATAACAATCTTGTTATGCTTAAGCAAAAACTTGATTTGTATAAATTCCAACCATATCCCCAAATTGACTAAGACAAGGTTAGAGCTATTAGCCTCCAAAAATCTGATCATAAGCATCTAGCAAGATGTGATCATCAAGGTCTTCTGCAATAAGCCTCCCCTTTAAATTAATTATCATGGCTAGTAAAAGAATTAATTGCATAATAAGCATTTCCTGGACCACCACTATTTTATTCAAAGCATTAGAGAAAGTGCTTATTTTATCAGTACCAAATGTTTTCTTTTCCTATTTCCATTTGGCCAAACTGTTAAAAGACAAGACTTAATAAAAGCAAGAGCCAAAGGCTTTTGCAGCAGGTGGCGCCCACCTCCGCCCACAGAATCCCAGCCCAAACAATCTGCTCAGAATTGCTGAGAAATCAGTAAAATGTGCCTCTGACTCAGCCTGTTAAGTAGGAGGGCTGTTATTGTTATTTTAATTCCTGCCAGAGTATGTGGGCAATGCTCCTTCTTTCTGTGCCCAGTTAACCATGAGAGATCCCTCTTTGCCCTGAACTAGGTCTTGATCAAGAAGAGCCAGAACTATGTGGGGCCTGAGTATAGTTTACCAGGTGGTTGTACAGAGTTAGATAGGTTTGCCTAAAGGTTGTTTCTGATATCTTAATTGGCCAGGAAGATTTTGATTTAGAATGCTTGAGCCACATTTGAAAGTCATTCTCATGGAATGTAATGGACGGAAGCTCAATGCTATGAGGTAGTGATCAGTGGGAGTAGATGTATTTATTTTCAGAGAGGATAGTAACAATACCAAGTTTTCATTCTGTTTTTCTTAGCTGTTAGGGAATCATGGTCCTACTATTTGTCTTTCTCTTTTCAAGTGTTCTTAACAGTAAAAATTCTCATTAAGTGAGGATCTTAAGAAAACTGTAAAAATAAAACAACCTCCCCAGACTGTTGTGCAAAAAATTAATAAACTTCAGGCATCTATGTATGATGATAACATTATGATAATAACATAGAAACCTACTCTGGAGATAAAGAAAAATCTTAATAATCTTGGACGATGTACTGTTATTTAAAGAACTGTACTCTTCAAAAGAGTACAACCCTCATTTGTGTAGGTGGATTTTTTTGTATTATAAATTAAGGTGTGAAAATATAAGCCAGCAACATAAAAAGTCATGATTTGGCATGGCAATAAAGTCAGAACCATGAATATGTTTGAACATTGCAGAAGTGAAGGACTTTGTTGAGCCCAAGTAAAAGCATCATTAAAAGGGCAAAGGCTATTCCCATTATTCATTGTGTTCATGTAAAGCTTCTATCTGCACTGTTTTATAGTAACCCCTGAAGACGCAGCCATCGCTTCAACAGGAGAGGCTTCATCAAGATAGGTGGGAAGTCTAGAAGCCAGTGACCTAGCTTGGAGCATGATGGAATCTCTGCCTTCAGTGGGAGAAGAGGATGTTGACGTGAGGTCAGGGAAGCAGAAAACGTGAGTGCACAGAGCCCTGTGGTGTGAGCTTTATTCTACCACAAGCAAGAATCGGATTTTGAACCCCAGAGTCGTATCAATTGATTAGTACGTGGTCAATGTGAGATAGCAGCTTGACAGAAACGTTGAGACAGACACAAGAGTCTAGAAACATATGAGCTTGGTAGTGAGATATTATGAGGCTGAAAGAGGTTAAATAACATCCTGATAGATGGTACAGACTGGAATTAGACCAACTTTTAGCCTTTTAGTGCTATTAACCCCTGCACTCTAACAGCTCATTTTTGTGTGAGAACAATGCTGATTCTGGATGAATTAGTAAGGCTTAAATTTCAGAGACAGGTCAACCTTTACATTTAGATTTATATGTGTTATGTTGGGAGTTTCCACTTCTAAATTTGACATAATACACTAACTGGTAACATTAGCAAATGACTCCCAAGGACTTTAAATTTACCGAGCATTTTCATTCATCTCATTTTATTTTGTCTACTGGGCATAGAAAAGTTATATCAAAGACAACTATAATATTAAGGCACCAAGCAAATAAAAATATCTACTTAATAATCATATTAGTAGTATTGGATAAATTTTCACATTCCCAATAGACTGTTTCCTCATTTTGTGTTGATATTGTTTTTTCCTTGCTTCCTTTTTTCTAAACATCAATCCCCAAATGCACATAAAAAGATCCCAATTAACATTGTTAGGATAAATGAAACCTATTTATAAAACACTTATGTGTCAACAAATTCTAGAATTAATTGCAGTGTTAGAAAACAACTTAAAAAGATTTTTTGACTTCTACGATTTCTAAGAGAATAAAAGCAATTAACATGGATTCTCCAAAAATATTCATATTGTACAAATTAAAGGAAGCATTTACACTATATTTGGCAATTGTCATTATTTCATCTATGGGGAAATAATACAAATTTCAATTATAATGTTATGGCAAAATAGTGAAAACCATGGATCCCATTAGATTAGCAAGTAAATTAAACAAATATGAATCCTGTTTGGGAAGAAAAGTAAAACATAAAAAGGATTGGCAAAATATCATATGTGAAGTACTATGGAGTCTTTAGATACAAATCCCAAATGGACTTTGCAAATTATGCTTAAACCCTTTTAGTGTTATTTTTTAGATGTTAAAAGTCATTTAGAAAGAATAATAAGCACAAAATATTAGTCTTTGTAAAAAATTAAACCAATCAGGTAATTCAGTGTCAATGTGCATGAGTATATATACAAAGGTGAGTGAAGGCACAAAATACTAAAGAACCTATGGCAAGGTTCCATTTGTATATCAGTGTGTGTGTGTGTGTGTGTGTGTGTGTGTGTGTGTGTGTGATTGTGTGTACTAGGGCTTGAACTCTGAGCCTCATACTTGAGCTTGGCAGTTTTGCTCAAGGCTGGGTCACCTGAATAGCTAATATTACAAAGATGAACCATTAGTACCCAGCTTGTATAAACATGTGAATGATTATATAATATTTGTTTCTGACATGTCACAAAATATTGAAAAATCATATCACCCTGGGCACTGTTACACTCATTAAGAAGGAAAGAAGGAAGGAAGGCATGGAGAGAGGGAGGGAAGGAGGAACGGAGGAAAGAAGGAAACAAAAGAGCTTTCATTTTTTCTCTGATGGGTTATTCCTTTATAAAAGATTTTCATAGGTGAGTTGTTTAATCTATGTGGAAGATACTTAGGTTCTTTCATTTTTTTCAGTCTTTTGCTTTGAAAAATTTATACATTTCCTTGTTTGAAAATAAAACAGTAGAGAAATAATATAACACAATAAATGTTGGGGTAGTCAAATCAACATCATACTTCTACTGAAAATAATGAAAATATATTTCCTAAAATTACTTAAAATGAGAAATCATCTATTTTTTATACTTCCTTGACTTTATTCTGTTCTTATCCTAAGAATTTTGAGTTGAAGAAAGATGTAAATTAATGGAGAAAATACTTTCTGCTCATAAATTCAAGGGTCCTTAATTTACTCATTCAAAGTTTTGTTTTTAATGAGTACAAATATAAATGTCTGCTTTGCATTTATTACCATTTCAGCAAATACTCCCTATTTTTCTTCCATGAATCCAGGTAAAACCTGTTTAAAATACAGGAGAATCTGAATGCTAGGCATTTCTATAATATGTAATCACAATAATTTTTGGAACTGGTGTTTGTAGATTGTAGGCTCATGCACAAACTTGGTGAACCTGCTTCTATCTTACAACCTCAGACATGATCCCTTATCTACCTCAAAGACCAGTTGTAAGAATACTTGAATTAACTTATAAAAAGTAAATCATGTAAGAAGATGCTTAGCCAATACTAGGTGCTGAGGAAATATTATTAGTAAAATAAGCAAAGCACCAGTTACAGGCTTAGTTGATCTTCATTTCAGAGTGTGGTCTTTTCATTCTAAGTCTAAATTAGTTATGGAATTCATTACCCTCTTAACAAAGTGAATTGATATTTACTTAGAGACAAAAAATGGTTAGCAAAAAGAGATACTTTTCGCAATTTTGGATAACTCAGAGGAGATAGTAAGGTCTTACCTATTCAGGGAAGTAGTAAGTCAGTAAAGTTTGTTATTTTGTCTTCTCAGAGTTGAAAATGTATTTTGGCTACTTTCTGTAAAAGAAAAATTAAAAATAATTTAGCCCTGATCTACATACAACACAGAATTCACTGATAGCTATATCAAGTAGATCAAAAGGAAATCCATAGTCTCGTTTCCTCTTTTAATACTGGGTAGCTATGAGAGAACAAAATGGATTTCACGATAGTTCTTTACACTTCTATCAAACTGAGCATTTATAACCTGATACAAACTAGTTTGGATATTTGGAAAGAATAGGAAAATATGTTCAAAAATTGTTATTGTAAAGGTGATATACAACGGGGTCACAGTTACCTAAATCAGGTAATGAGTCCATTTCTTTGTGAACAGTGTCATCTCTTCCCTGGTTTTCTCCCAGTTGTTTCCTCCCAACATCCTTCCTCCAAAACTTGTTCATTTTCACATTTTCAACATAGTGTCTAGTGAGTATCACTGCTTCATTTGTTCACCCTTTGTCTTACAATTTCTGTGCTCCCTATTACTGTCTACAAAACAGATAAACTTATATACAAAACAAAAAGTACAGAAAACAAAAACAGCAACAAAGGAGAAAAAATAAGCCAAATACTTCCATTTCTTCTTTTTTTTGTAGGCTGTGGGGTTTGAACTCTGGGCCTGGGTGCTGTCCCTGTGCTCTTCAGCTCAAGGCAAGTGCTCTACCACTTGAACCAGAGTGCCTCTTCCAATCTTGTTTCCATTTCTTGGAATTCATTTTGATAAACATCGTTTTACATGCTCATATGCCCAAAGCAATTGAACTTTTGTGATCTTTTCCTAAGAATATCCTCCTTTGATCTCATTGTGTAAATGTTTAAAGCCCTGTATAATTTATCATGCCCATGCGTATTATATGTCTTTTACCATTGAGTGTGGGGAAACATTCTTAACAGGTTTTCTTATCCTTTAGCTTTATTCCAATGACGCCTCAAAAGTATTATATCCAAGAAAGAGTACTTTAATCTCCATCTAATAAATAACAAGCAATTATGTTCTCTCTCAAGACAATTCATTCGTCGAAGTATATTGTTAATTATCTCCAGTAAGCTTTGAAGGACTAGGCCTCCAGCCCAGTTGGCACTGATTCTATCCAGCACAGGATTGACAGGAAGTTTTTTTAATCAGTTAAATTTTCTCCACAGAGTACTAAACTTACTTTGATAATCATAATCCTAACAGTTGTTCTGAATTAATTTTGCTTAAAAATTCCTCTTAAAATAACACAGAATATTGCTTACAAAAGTGGTAGCTAGAAATAAACAGAATGACTAGAATATCGTAGGCTTGTGCTCTACTGCGTGACCCTTGGGGTGTCATCATCCGCATCAAAAAGAAACACTATAAGAGACCCACATATTGCTAGGAATTTCAGAGCTGAGGTCCACTTTGAAGTCTAGCTCTTATACCTTGTAACACAAGGTTTATAAATGTGTGTTATCTCCATGTGCTTTTTTCAAGGCCTGTGATTTTACTTCTGGCAGAGTGGATCCTCTTCTATCCTCAAGGAAGATGTCAATTTACAGGTGAACATTTGGAGACTCACATCATGATTGCTTCTTGTTTTTTTAAAATTTTCTTTATATATATATTTATTGTAAAAATGTTGTACAGAGGGGTTACAGTTACATGAGTAGGGTAATGAGTACATTTCATAGCGAGCATTGTTACCTCCTCCTTTGTTTTCCCCCTACCATCACTTCCCTCCCCACCTCCCCAATTCCTCCCCCCCACCCCGACATTGTAAAGTTTGTTTTCAACATAGTGTCCTGTACATCTCATGTCACAATGGGTCAGTCTGCATCCCAATTTAAGTGTTCCCCAATATCCCTTCCCCTTCCCAAATTACATAAATGTATATACAAGGTGCAGAACACTGGCATCAAATCCAGTGAGAACAGGGGTTATACTGTGGGGGAAGAACATATGAAAGCAACAAAAGAATCACATAGTGCATTGTAAGTACATTAAAAACACTAGCAAGAAGGAGGAGACAACAATGCTTGATAAGAAATGTACTCATTACCTTGCTCATGTAACTGTAACCCCTCCTCTGTACAGTATTCTCACAATAAAATACTTATTTAAAAAACGGAAAGAAAAAAACCACTTGTATCCCTATCTTGGGATACATTTTGCTTAACATTATCTCATGTGATCATATGTACATAGCCTTTGACCTTCTCTGCTTGTTGTAGACATATACTAGTCATTGCAAACAAGGGAAACCATGGGACCTATGTTTCTTTTGGCCTGGCTCACTTCACTTAATATAACCTTTTCCAAGTCTTTCTATTTCCTAACAAATGAGGCAATGTCATTCTTTCTGACGGAGGCATAGAATTCCATTGTGTATGTGTGTGTGTGTATATATATATATATATATATATATATATATATATATATATATACCACATTTTCTTGATCCATTCATCTATTGAGGGGCATCTGGGTTGGTTCCATATCTTAGCTATGGTAAATAATGCTGTGATAACTGCAAGACAAAGGACATAGCTAGCAAGATCAACAGAAAGCCCACAGACTGGGAGAAGATCTTCACTAGCCTTACAACGGACAAGGGTCTCACATCTAAAATATGCTACTTAGAACTCAAAAAACTAAATCCCCAACAACAAATCCTCAAAGAAACAACTGTCCAATTAATAAATGGGCTAAAGACTTAAGGAGAGACATTTCTGAGGAGGAAATAAGAATGGCCAATAGACACATAAAGAAATGCTCAACTTCTCTAGCCATAAGAGAAATGCAAATCAAGACAATGTTGAGATTCCACCTCACCCCAGTTAGAATGGCTATAATCAAGAAATCTAGTAACAACAGATGCTGGAGGGGATATGTCCAAAAGGGAATCCTATTGCTTTGTTGGTGGGAGTATAAATGTGTTCAACCACTCTGGAGAATGGAGGTTCCTCAAAAGACTCCACATAGAGCTCCCTTATGACCCAGCAATCCCACTTTTGGGCATTTACCCAAACGATCACAAACAAGGTCATACAAAGCTACCAGCACAACCATGTTTATCTCAGCATTATTTACCATTGTTTCTTCTTTAAGACCCAGTAGGAAAAACCATCTGGGAAATACAAGCTGCAGATAGCCCTGTTCTTCATGACCCTTTTTGGAGCAATGTGTATAAGTATAGGAACAGACAAAAGTTTGATTTAAAAACAACAAATATTGACCAGGTCAGGTCTTACATTACATGTTTTTACATGTGTTAGTTCATTGCCTCTATAAACATTCATCCACACCTTGTTGTGGTTAACAAGTCTATTAAAAATAAAATTAGGAGGGCTTAATATTAAATAAATAAAGAATAGTCTGTAAGCAAGACACACAGAATAATTCTGTATTTACTGTAGTAATTTGATATGTATTCTATCAAGAAAGGTATAATTGCCTAAATCTTTGCACACAGCCTTTCTATGCTTCTTTTAATCCAACCCAACAATTCTCAAATTTACAAAACATATAACAATATTATACAGATTTTATACTCTATAGTTTAAGACCAACTGTAGTTTTTTTTGGAGGGGGGCAGATAGTATGCTTTAAATTCAGACTCACATTTCCTAAGAAGGTCCTCTACCAAGTGAGCCACACCTCCAGCCCTTTCTTGCTTTGACTATTTTTTTTTTTTTTCAGATAGAGGGCATGCATTTTTCCTTGAGATCAGCTTCAGTTGATTATCCTACATATGCCTTGCCTCCTGTGTAGCTTGGGTTACATGTATATAAGCCTCCCTAGCTAGCTGGTTGAGATGGAATCTTGATATATTTTTGTTGTTGTTTCCTTTGTGCTAGTTTTAAGCCATAATCCTTTTAATCTCCACCTGCAGAGTCATAGAACTTACAGACATTCATTTGGTTATTTAATTTCCTGTTTTGATAGACTTTGTCTAGTAAGAAAAATAATGAGAAGCTGGGATCCTGAATGGGATCCCTGAAGACTCAGCATAACCTCAACAACTAGCCCCAGGCGATTCAGTCTGCAATAACATTGCTTGCTGCCTCCACTATCAACCTGCTCTATGGACTTTTGAGGAATTCATGGAATCCAGGATTACAAAACTTTAGCTACTGAAGTTTACATGCTACTAAGCCATTTCTATAACTTAATATGCTTAGAATCAATTTGTTATCTACTTATTTGCAAGTATAAGAAAGCCAAGGTAAACCAAAGTCACTGCTAATAGTAACTGATCTTTTTTGGGGTTACTGTTAAAATTCCTCCTAAAACAATATTACATTTCTTGCAATGGACATATATTTCACATATATACAGGGATGTGTAAGAACTGTTAGCAAAATCCCTATTCAAAAATATACAGTTTTCAGCTAAGAAGAGAATCTACATATGGTAGATAATACAAATTGTGCCCTTTCATTTCCAAATCTGATACTGTGGGCTACTGATACTGAGGACTAGCAAGCTGGGTTAAGCTGATTTAGTACAAGTGATCTACTTTTGTCCAAAGCATCTTCTCTCCACATAATTCAAGAGAGTAAAAATAGCACACAAGGAGGTAAAGGATAAAGGATTAGATTTGTCAGGAAAGTCCGTCTTAAATCTCTGAGGCTTTATAGAACACACAGGTTGATAGCTTGTTCATACAAATCCTGATGAGAGTGGAGTGCCTCTCCCATGCAGTGACCAGACCATTGGGTACCAATAACATACTTGTCGTTCAAATAAAGGCCTTCAGGATTACTGAAGGTGAACAGACACTTGGAAGGCTGAATAGTGGTTCTAACATGCTTTAATGAAGAAGTGACCTACATCACTCACTTCCTGTCATACTCCAGAGAATATCACAAGAGGCTGAACATGGTTTGGCTTAGGTGCAAGTGGTTGTGAAACATGGAGGACAAATGGATATCCTGTGTAAAGCAAACATGAGGCTGAATAAGACGTAATGAGACTGACCTATTAGCTACCTTTGATTTCTTCCTGTTGACAAGAATGATGCTCAACGCTATCAGTTAAACTGCGCTCG